TAAGCTGGAGCCTCTGGGGATGCATTTGGTTCCTGGGATTGACCCTTTAGCCTAAGGGTGTCACTGATGAGGGCATGTCATGAGTCAGGGTCTATAGATGGGAGGCTTAGTGGGTGGGTGTCTGGGAGCCTTATGTTGGGGCTTTGAAGTCAAAGTCTAATGGACTTCCAGGCAAAGCCCTCTGAAAACAGACCTTATGCTGGGCGTTCAGGTCACACCTCCCCCAGGGAGGTCTGGCTGGATTTAGCCAAGGGGACCAGAACAACCTCCACGCTGACTCTGGCCTGGTTGATTCTTAGTCATCCCTCAAGACCTGCCTGTTCCCACCTCCACCCCCAAAGCATGACCTTGGTGCCCCTCATCTGTGCTCCTACCAACACCATGCATCTCACGTGTTACAGAACTTACACCCGGCTCTACTCTTATTTTACTCTGATGTTTCACTTGTCTGGTTCCTCCCCCTCACACACAGACACCAAACCATGAGGTGTGTAAGGACAGAGACAGACTTGTTTCCAATTGTTTCCCCAAGTGCAGCACATAGTTGTTGTTGCTATTGTTAAGTGCTGTCAAGTCGGTTCCAACTCATAGCAACCCTGTATAGGGTTTCCAAGGAGCTACTGGTGAGTTTGAACCACTGACCTTGTGGTGCAAACTGACTTTGGGGTCCTTTGCTTACCCTACAGTGCCACACCAGGACATAGTATGCCCAATGAATGGTTTTCCTGGGAGCCCTTGACACAGAAATTGGGTATTGAGGGGAGGTGGGAAGGCTTCCCCCTCCCAGGACAGGATGACTATGAGGCAGGCAGGATTGAGTGACTCAGCCTCAGCCCAGGCCCTGTGTACATGACCAGGAATTCCCCGAGACTGCCTACCGTGGACAGACAACAACCAGTCAACCCAGCACTGAAGCCTGCTCCTCGCCCCTCATGGGCAGCTAAACACCTTGTCTGGGAAAGAGGAGATCCTTATCTCTGGGGTCTTTGGTCACCCAAGGAATGCTCCCTAAATGGGGCTTCAGATTCTAGTCAAAGATAGAGGTGGGGTGGGAAGTGCCTGAGGCATCATCACAGAAGATCCGCCCCCACTGCCAGTCCCAAGGTAGCTGGGAATGGAGGAAATGTGAATGTACTTTCATTTTAATCATTGGAAACCATTGCAAATTCATTCCTTTTGTTCCTATGCATCTATTGAGTGCCCTTTATGAGTCTGGTGGTGCATACGGATGGCAGCTAAGTGGCACAAACAGTTAAGTGCTTGACTACTTGCTAATAGGTTGGTAGCTCAAATTGACCCAGGAGGTACCTTGGAAGACAGGCCTGGTGATCTGCTTATAAAAAGCTATAACATTGAAAACCCTTTGGATCACAGTCCTACTCTGCCCACTTGGAGAGCTAACTCAATGGCAACTGAAAATACTAACAAAGTGCGCAGAGGTATGAAGAATAATACAAGATTAAGCCCGAAAAAGAATCTTAGGTTCAACTATATAATTATTCCATATTTGTAAAGAAATATTCACTTTATCTGGCTAATTGACACATGCCCTTCAGATCTCTCAAAGATCCTGTCTGTCTCAGGAAGTTGCCCTTGACCAGCCTCCTCCCATTTTACAAACTCCAAGGGAACCCCTGTTCTTGTCCCTGCCTCTCCCTCTATACGGTTGTTAAATGCAGTCCAGTTGGTTCTGATTCATATTGGTCCTGTATAGGGTTCTCAAAGAGCAGTCCAGTGCTTATCCTACAGTGCCATACCAGGACCCCATATCTCTCTGTGTAGTACCTACTTATTTCTTTCAGGGTTGAGAATTCTCTGAGGGCAGAGACCATGTCTACCTTGTTAACTTTTGTAGTCCCAGACCCCAGCGTTAGTAGGCACCAGTATTTGTAGAATGAATAAAAGTAACTTGTAGAAAGTCACAGACTGCTTGGTTTCAGAGTCAAGAATAGAACTCAGGTTTCCCAATACTTATATGTACTGTCATGGATTAAATCATCCCCCCTAAAATATGTGTCTGTTTGGTTGAACCATAATTCACAATAGTTTGACAGTTATGTGATAATCCCCATGAAGTGATAAACCAATAAGAGGATTAAAGTCCTGCTGCAGAGCTGTAGGATAAGCACTGAACTCTTAACTACATGGTCAGTGGTTCAAGCCCACCAGCCGCTCCTTGGAAACCCTATACCAGATTGCTGTGAGTGGGAACCAACTCAATGGTACTTCACAACGACAATAACACCCTTAGTCCCATCACAACACTGATGGGAGATTCCCAGGGAATGAGCTGCAACACCTTTTATATTATAAGAGATAAAAGGAGATAAGCCAACAGAGACTAGGGACCTACTACCACCAAGAAAGAGGAGCCGAGAGTGGAGCGCATCTATTGCACCTGGGGTACCTGCCCTGTGAAGCTCCTACATCAAGGGGAAGACTGATGCCAAGACACATGGAGTTCCCCTAGGAATGCTGGGTCTACAGATGCTGAAAGGAGACCAGGACATTTTCTTTAGAACCAGAGCTCTGAATTTGGACTTCTAGGCTCTAACCTATGAGAGAATAAATTTCTGTTTGTTAAAGACATTCCCTTGTGGTATTTCTGTTACAGCAGCACTAGGTAACTAAGACAGTAACCCATGATTCCTCTTGAGACCCCTTCTGAATGACCCTGCTCAGCTGGGTCAGAAATGGACACAGATTTTGGGCAGAAAAGTAAACAGCAGGTTAGGGGAATTATCTCTTGGGCCTCTTTCCACTTTCACAGTTAACTCAGAGAAAGAGGGGAGGCTTGTAGAGAGAATGGAGTCAGACTGGCCCTGTAGATTTGGAGAGAGTAACAGGGCAGCTGTTTCAACATAGCCACAAAGTAGACAAAAAAAAAAAAAAAAGGCCAAGCCATCCTCCATTCCTAGCTCACACTTGAAAGGATGTAGAAGTAGGAAAGTGGACAGACACTGAATGCAAAATTCAGCCACTCATCTTATCTTGAGCATGCTTTGATCTATAGCTGTAGTCACCATCCTCCTAGGGGTGGGTTTGTCCAAGGGTTTTCCCCAGCACAGTTTGCTGGAGGAGTTGCCCTCAGGGAAGAGGATCAAGACCTGTTGACCTCCATTCTTCTCCCCACAGACCAGTGTCTGAATTCCAGCTCAGCTACTTTCTTGCCAGTTGTGAGACCTTGGGATGAATAATACTCACCTCAAAGAATTAGGTTATTATGAGGATGGATGAAAGGGGAAATATTCCTTTCACCCATCTTACTCCACACTGGAAGGGAAGAGGGAAGCCTGTGGTGGCTTTCATTTGAATCCTAGAAGAGCACTCAGAATGGGGATTCTGGGCCTATTGCTCCAGGTCTCAAAAATCAAACCAAACTGGATAAACAGCTCATCTTCCAGCTCCAAAATCACAGGGAAAACCATGGGACAGCTATTTACAAGTTTGGGGAACACAAAGCCAAAATAAGAGTAGCAGTTAAGTAGTATTGTATTTTCTGAATTAATAAATGTTATGAATGTTTCCCTATTACCCCTCCCCACCTCCTTCAATGGGAGTCCTGGTGTAGAGCTGTGGGTTAATGCTCCAGACTGCAAAGCCCTTTGAACTGCAAGATTGGGTTCAAGCTCACCAGCTGCTCCTCGGAAACCCCATTCAGGGTCGCTATGGATCGGAACTGACTCAACAGCACCTAACAACAACAACCTCCTACAATATTACATAAATTCTACCACATCTTGATGACTCACTCAACCCTAGAAGCCCTCTTATTTACTATGATGAAAAGGTGAAACTTTCTCTATTATGTCTGGGATCCAATTAAGGTTCATCTAACAGAAGACTGGTGAACCCAAAATCCTACCCACCAACTCTCCCATATGATTGGAGTCTGTCCCAGCCCCACCCCAACCTCTTTCTCCTTTCATCTTTCAAGGAGAAAAGGATCCCCTTTCTCCTTTACGGGCTTAAAGAAATGCTTGCACGATTTTATAGAATTTGGGCTTGGGTACAGCAAATTACTCAGAATGGATAAATAAATACTTTGGTGGACATTAATGACTTCTAGTGGCCCCAGGAATCATCCTGGTGTGGCACTGTAGTATAAGCACTGGACTGTTAACCACAAGGTCAGTGGTTCAAACCCACCAGCCATTTCTTAAAAACCCTATACAAGATCGCTATGAGTAGGAACCGACTCGACCACACTTAATAACAGCGGTGCTGTCAGAATGCCTGTTGCAACTGAAATCACAATGGAAGGGATTATTTTTTTTTGTTGAAACAACCAAATAACATTACTGCCATCACTAGATTGAGCTCATAGGGACCCTATAGAACAGAAAGAAGCCATGGTGATGCTGTAGGATATCACTGAACTGCTAACAGTAAGGACAGCGACTCAAACCCACCAGTTACTCTGCGGGAGAAAGATGAGGCTATCTGCTTTCTCTATCTGCAGCCTCTGAAGCCCTATACACGATCACGAGGAGTCAGAATCCACGACTGGATGGCAGTGGGCTTGGTTTGGTATAATCTTTACATCTTTCTCCCGTGTTTGGCAGCCAAGAGCTCGAACAACTGCACCACCAGAGCACTTCTAAGGGCCTTCAAACTAAGGTTCTGCTTCTGAGCAGTATGGGCCCTCCCAGCTGCCTCCTTTTCCCTCACTCTCCTTACTCCAAGAAACCCATGGACCTCCGTGTGGGCGGGGCTCCACTTACACCTTTCCCGGCCGTGTCGAGGGGAGAGGCGGGACCGAGGCCAGCGCGAGCCACTAGGGGAGGCCCTGGTCACGCTCAGCCGGAACAGACCAATGGACGCCGGGGGGCGTGGCCAGGGCCTCAGTCTAGGAACGTTTATAAGAACTTGGAACGCAGCGCTTCCCTGCGCGCTCTGGTGAGACTGTGACTTCTCTGCCCGGACGCGACACATGTTCCCTGTGCTCTAGCTTTTCCCACTCAGCCGATTCCCCCCTCCGCCCTTGCTTACCTTATCTCCTGCCCTCCATGGAGTCGTTGGCTTTTTCCCGGCGCCCCTGCCCCACTCCCTCGTCCGTAGAGATCTCCCGGCCTCTTGCCGACGGGCTCATCAAGTCGCCCAAGCCCCTGATGAAGAAGCAGGCAGTGAAGCGTCACCACCACAAGCACAATCTACGGCACCGTTACGAGTTCCTGGAGACCCTGGGCAAAGGCACCTACGGGAAGGTGAAGAAGGCGCGCGAGAGCTCGGGGCGCCTGGTGAGTGTGACTCCCTCTCGTGGCGCCCGGCGGGCTCCCACTGGGCCGCCGGCTGAGCATGGCAAAGGGAGGACTGGAGTCGTTCATGACTCGGTGTAGTTGTCAAGGGTTGATTGGTCCAAGGTAGATGTGGAGAACTTGGATGTGTAGGACCTGGGAGAGCCTGAGAAACCTAAGCACAACCAGGCAGGTGTGATGATGACCAAACCAATGAGGCGTCCAATATAAAAGAGAGATGGTGCCCTGACGTGGAATGGAGAAGGCGCCCAAGAGAAGATGGATTTTGCTTGGAAGAGACTGTCCACCTGAGTAGACTAGGAAGCCAAAGTAGACGGACCTGACTTTAGTTGTTAAGTGCCGTCGAGTCGGATCCGACCCATAGCTGCCCTATACAGGGTTTCCGTGGAGCAACTGGTGAGCTTGAACCACCGACCTTGCAGTTCAAATGGCTTTGCAGTCTGGCGCATTTACCCACAGCGCCACACCAGGACTCCGTTTGTAGGGGTTGTTGTAGATATGTAGTTGAATAAATGGAGCCTCCAAGTCGGTTCTAGTAGTATGCTATATAGAGATGCCCCCAGGAATGGGATGGGATTGATGCATAGGTCCTTTCCAGCTCAAAGACCGAGTGGAAGTTTCATTAAGTTTCATTACTGCCTTGGGCAATTCACTTCATGATTATACTTTTTAGTTTCCGTTTCTACAAATATGGGGGAAATTGTGTCCCTCACAAGTTACTATGAGAATTGAATAATAAACAAATGTGCACTCAAGAGTTCCTGACATCTAGATGGTGACAACTGATACATCTGAATCTGGAAAGGCCTGCCCTTTAACTGTGGTTAACAGTGGTTCTCAAAGTTTACTTTCAAGTGCCAACAATCACCTATGGGTGCTTGTTTAAAACGCATGCTCTCTGATCTCACACCCAGAAGATTAGATTCTGATGGTCTAGGGTAGAGCTACGTTATCTGTTATCTGTATTTTAACAAACCTTTTAGGATTTAGAGGTTATAGTTTGCCAATCCCATTTGCATGCTGGTTGTGAGGTGTGTGTGTGTGTGTGTGGTCATAGTTTGTCTTATTGGCTATGGCAGCCGTTGCCTCCTCAGACTCTGTTTGCTTTTACAGCCGGTAGATGATTTGAAATTCAAGCAGTCATTTCATTGGCGACAGAGAGTGGATGCTGGAGATAGGAGTGGATTATGACCCTTCAATAGGACCAAGTATGTTTTTCCTGCTAACGCCTGGCACAGTCCCCAGTTGCCGGCTGCCAGGTTACAGCTATTGGGCAATCATGAACTTCCTGGCTTTCTTTTTCTCTTTCTGTAAAGTGCAGGGGACCCGTTGAGACGCCAGGTTTGAGACTGCTTGGCTCAAGCTTTGTCAGGGGCTTAGCAAGAAAATAGTTGCTCGTGCCTCATGCCTCTTGTTTAGGGGGAAGACTAGGTCATTGGGGACTGGGGTGGCCCAGGAACTGGGATTGAAGTTCAGAAACCCCATTAGGTTTTGGCTTGCGTTCTGTTCTTTCACGTGTGTGTGTGTGTGTGTGTGTGTGTGTGTGTGTGTGTGTGTGGTTAGGAGAGAGAAGTCTCTTTGATTCTGGAGTGAGATAAATCAGCTTTCAGTTCTCAAACTTCAGTGACTCTAGGCAGGGATTCCAGCTCTTATTACATCAGAAAAGAGAGAATTAGGATTCAGCAGGTACTCCCTGGGCTCCTGTTTCTTGCATGTAGGGGGCCAAAATCAGTCTAAGGGGGCTGATCAGTAGTGGCAACTTGCTCAGGGTCTCTCCTTGGACATCAGCTGCCCTGCTGTGCTGATAAGTATCTCAGTGGTGGAAGAGTAGTCTCTCCCCACCCCCATCCAGCCTCTTGATTTTCCCTGAAGACAGAATTGGTGTCTCAGGATACTTCAGGGCTGTGGGGTTGGGTTCACAAGAGCTGCCCAGCACTTTTCCCCACATGAGCTGAGCCTGTTAGCAAAGGTTAGATTTAAAGGAAAGCCAGCTGGGTGACTCCCATCCCAGTTTTTTTCTCCACTTTTCTACCTCACCTCCCATTCCCAAACTGCCTAGATGGGATTTTCAGGAGCCAGATGGGACTGTATGGCAGGAGGGGCAGGCAGGTGGGTGGGACTAAGGGCTGCTCCAGAAGGGCATCAAAGGAAAAACAAATATTTGTTCTGGATCTTCTGGTCTCCCGAGTACATTCCTGGCATCCAAATTACATTTCCTTCTGTGACTCTCGCCAGCTTCTCTGACCTTCCCTTTGTCCTGAGAGAAGAAAGCATGCTCTGCCCCCTAGAATGGTAGAGTCCCCAAGCCTTTGAGATGATTTCTGTGTGGAATTTTTACCTTCTGAGGGGGTGCCATGCCTACAGCATAGGCCTCTGTCATGACCAGTACTAAGCCCTGAATGACCAAGTATTGGGAGCTGGCCTGCATATGGGTCTGGGCTTGCCTCAGTGTTTTGAAATAGCCCTGGAGCTGCTGGTCCCAGTGCCCCAGGCCATCCTTAAGGTGGGAGGAGTCACTGGGAACCAACCCCTACCACTGTATATTGAGAGGCCTGGGGGAGTGACTTATATTACTTTCCTGGGGTTTTCCCATCTAGAAGACTGTTTAGCCCAGATTGCAAGGGTTCTGATCCTGGCTTTATTTGATGACTGAGTTCTGTATGACATTTCCTCCACTGAATAGGCATAGTAATAGTTCCTATTTTATGGGGTTCTGGTCAGATTATATGAGATATTATATGTAGGGTGCTTCTCACAACATCATCCAGACATGGTATTATCCCAGCAAGACCGACTTTGATTAAACCCTCCCCTTTCTCCTGGGTCTGTGCTACCCTGAGCATAAATTGAGAATGAATTGTGCTCTGCTTCCTTAACCAAACCACTTTGATTTTTCCTTTGTTCAAAGACCTTATCTCCCCTTGGGCTCCAACTCCAGGGAAGGGCTCCCGCATGGCCAGCAGTCTAAAGCCTTTTCCTCAAGACACTGCCCTCCCAGTGCCTTCTGTACCTGCCGGCTCAGCAGCAGAGAGCCTCCAGCTACAGGCGACTCTTGTCCTTGGGCTGTAGCCAAACCACACAAAATGGCTGGCCAGAGAAGCTCCATGCCCAGCAACCTGACAGAGTCTAGTGGAAGACAGCTCAATGGGATCAAGCATGGTACTGGGCTTCGGGAGGCAGCCCAGGCTCCCCTTAGAGCCCATTTCTGCTCCCTGCCTGGATCTCACTAGGGTTGGTAGGATAGCAGAGTCCAGGCCAACTTTTCAGCTCTCCATTATCTGAGTGGGTCATCCTCCAACTCCTTGCTCTGCCTTCCAGACAACAAGTATCCTGTGAAAAGTCCGAGAGATGTCCAGAATCTTGGCCCCAACTTCAGGTGATAGCAACGATCAGATGCCCAGCTTGGGCTCTTGCTCTGGTACTTGGAACCAGCATCTCTGGATCTTTTTCTAAGGGCTTCCTGCCGTCCTTTTTAGAATCCAGATCATCCCTGATCTGAGAGGGAGGCAGTGTCTACCAACTGGGTCCCAGCACCCACATCTCCTGGAGTGTTGGCAAAGATGAGGGTTAGTTTTTATATCTATGTGTAGGAGGGAGTAGTTGGTGGTGCTGCCCAGCCTGGCCCAAGGCAAGATGTGGGCCATTCCCTTCTCCATGGGTGGGAGGAAGGGAGCTGGAGGCAGGACAGGGTATCTCCAAGGAACTTTTGTCTTCTGAGATGGTAGCTTCTCCAGACAACTCCCCGCAATCTTGGATAAAGACTTTGCCTGTGATCTGTTGAGAGACCTTGGGAAAGCTCGCGCATTTTTCTGTTGCTATTCGCAAAATGGGATAGGAGGTTACTTCTGCTGCCTTTCCAGTATGCAGAGCCAACAGGAGCAAGAATATCACTGGATGGTATTATTGGTAGGAATTTTGCTGAGGCAAATGAGTATGACCATAGCATAGGGCCTCTGAACAATCCACTTAGCACAGTTCTTGGCATCCTAGCAGGAGACCCATTTCTGGAGACCTTCAGCAGAAAATGCTAGAGTTTGAAAAGGAGCTTAGAGATGCATAAAATCATGATTGACTTCTTCTTTTCTGGCCTTTGCTCAGACTTTTCTGTCTGGAATGCTCTTGGTGCCCTTTCCCCAAGGGTGGTTTTCCATGCTCACTCAGCCAAAAGGCGCTCTCTCTCTCCAGTGCTCTTGCAGACCCTCATGGGGCAGGGACTCAATCACTGTCACCTTCACACTAGATCAGAGTTGATTTAACTTCCAATTTCCTTACAGAATTAAAGGCTCTAAGCACTGAGCTGCTGACCCATCAGGCACTCAGAGGGAGCAAGATAAGGCTGTCTGCTCCAGTAAGGATTTGCAGCCTAGGAAACCCTATGAAACAGTTCCACTCTGTCCTGTGAGATCGCTGTGAGTTGAAATTGACTCATGAGCAGTGGGTCTGTGTGTTTGGTGGGACAGGGATTATCCAATTTTTTTTTTGTCTGGATCCCCAGAACACAGCACCTAGTACATAGTAGGTGTCCCGCATATGTTTAGAGGATAAATGACCTTTCAGTTTTTTAGGTAAGGAAATGAAAATTAGGCAAGTTTAACTAAACAATTTAAGTGACCTAAATTGTATTGCTCGAGTCAAATAAAAATGAGAAACTTGGTCTCTTAACTCAGCTGTGGGGTATTCATTTGTGTTATCAATATTGTTGAGTTTCCTTCATCCTCTGAGCAATGCTCATCAAATAAATTTATTACCTAAACCTGGATACTATGAACAGTAAAAGGGAGAACTATTAATAGTTGTACCAGAACTAGGTCAGTACAAGTAGCCTTCCTCTACCTCTGGGCAATCCATCTAGTAATTTCTACAGGATAATGCGCTAGACCACAAGGTCAGTTTGAGCAGCAAAGTTGGTGGTTCAAATCCACCAGCCACTCCTTGGAAACCCTATACAGGGTTGCTATAAGTCGGAACTGACTTGACGGTACTTAACTATACCAATAACCTTGGCACTAGTCAGTTTATTTTTATTCTTGATAATGGTTGCCCATTTTTCTTGTAGGTGAGAACAAGGGTCCCTCAAAATTAGTCCACATAACTAAAATTGATTCTCCTCCCATGCCTGGGAAGAAAGGGAGAAATTTTTACTGGGGCACTGGTCCCATAGCCAGGGATTAGCCCAATGATTTAACCAATAAATATTTATTTGTGATTTATGCTCACCAGCAAACAATTGTTGAATGCTTTCTGTATGCTGAGCTCTGTGCAGGCCTGAGCTGGTGTCTGTTTTACAGGCTGGCCAGCAGCAGATAGCCCGCAGTAGCCCAGCCCCACTAAAGGAGTGACACACTGCTCTTCTCCCTCTTCTGTCACCTGCTTGGAGACTGGGGAGGCCTGATGACATAGCCTGTTTTCATCCTAGGGAATGTTAGCCAAGTTGTGGTGTCCTGGGACCTAATGTGGATAACTGGGGGGTCTTTGAGTTGGCCGCCTGAGGTCAGAGCAAGAGTTTGCAGAAAGATGGAACTATCCATTGAGGATAAACAATACTGATTTCGAATCGTAGGATCCCAGGGTTGAAAGAAATGGACCTGGGTATTTGACTTGTGTACCCTTTATGCATCATGCCAAACCTCATTTCTTCTAGACTTTGTGATTGTTTTTCTAACTCATGTACACGTCTGTACTCTTGTCACATCTTAGATGTACTTATATGCAAAGATGCACTTAAAGATGCATCTGTACACATGTGACTAGTTTTTGCATATGAGTGCATCTTATGCTTTTAATCTTTTTCATCTATTTTAATGATCTAGATGTGTGATTGAAGCTTATTTATATATGATTTCATTCTTTTAATACAGTTTTTGTGACCCTTTGTCTCTGAAATACTCATAACACTTTATCCATTGCTGTCTGATGTTAAGAACAAAGAATTTTAGGAAGAAAAAAGCTAGTCATTAAAGTCTCCCCTTCAGGAAGATGGGAGTATGTATGAGCCGTGGTGAGCTATGTGGGATGATGTTCCAGAAGAACTATTTGCATGAAGAGGTGCTTCATGTTGGATGAAGATGCAAGCCCCCTATGCTATCCCAAGCCTAGGGGATTTTCTGCTTAGCTCACTGGGAAGAAATGGATGGTGAAGCAGAAAGGGCAAGGTGTAAGAAGAGAGGCGGAAGTACTACCCCATCCCCTGTCCTCCCCTGTCCCCTGCAGCTGCAGTGGGGGCCTCTTCTGCATCCTGGGGAGGAGGCACCATGGTGACCGACCCTCCCTCCTGCCATTGTCCTCCCTGCCCTTCTCAGGGAGGGCTCTCAAGCTGGGCCTCCCCTCTTTCATAGATGCAGCTCCAGGGGAGGGGCGGGGCAGAGGGCACGCCATCCCTGGCTGGTTGCTGGGGTGACCGGGCCATGGGCTTTGTGAGCAGCTCCTCTTACGGGATTATGGCTGTTCACTGTTCCGCATTCTTGTCTGATGGGCGAACACAGGCCGCCAGGGCCCACTGTCCGCTTGAGCCGGAAGCCATTGTCTGCCTCCAGAGCCCCGTGAAAGGGTGGATTAGGGGCCCCTCCCCTCAAGCAGTGGTTCCCTTTTTTTTTTTGTCTCCCTTTGAATCTTGAGGGGAGGCAAACCCTCCTGGAAAATAGAATAAGGAGCTGTTTACCTCAGTCTGTGTTTTCTGATTTATCATAACTTGATTGCCTCCCATGCAGAGGAAGTCTTATGTTTGTCATTCCTTGGACAGGACTTGTCAGGAACTGACTGGCCCTGAGGAAACCCCCCCCTCCCCACCCCTATACCTGATGCTGTTTCTGAGGCCCCATGGCATTTATATAGCCCACAAGGAAAGTACCTCAGACATCTTGGGCCAACCCCTTTATTTAACAGAAAAGAAAAAACAGACTCTGAGAAGGGTAAGGACCTGCTCACACAGACAGTCGTGGAGCCCAACAGAGCCCAGGACTCCTGACTGCCCAGCGACAGGCTCCTGGCCTTGTTGGCCTTCCCCTCACCATCCCAGCTCCAACATTGCTGGTCCATTCTGCAGTAGCTTGCCCACAGTGAGATGCATCGTGAAGGGGACGCTGAAGGTTGCTTGAACTGCATTTTGGCAGTTTCTTCTCCATTTCCTCTTGTCTCACCCCACCCTTCCTGAGCCCACGTGCCAGCCAGAAGGTTTAATCCTTATATGGGCTTTTTACCTTTAGAGCCTAAGATGACAAGACCCATAGGGTTCTGTATTAACTGTCTAATTGTTTATTCTTTATTGGGGAAGGGACATTCCCTACTTAGGCTGAATGGTGGTGGTGGTAGTGTGCCGTGGAGTTGGTTCCGACTCATAGCGACCCTGTATAGGGTTTCTGAGGCTTTACGGGAACAGAAAACCTTATCTTTCTCCAGTGGAATGGCTGGTAGTTTCGAACTGCTGACCATGAGGTTAGCAACCTGACTGGTAACCACTATGCTATGACACTGGTTATTTTTAGCAAGTTAAGGTATTTGGTGGGAAAAGTTCTAGACCAGGAATCAGATAGGCAAATAGTTTTCATTTCCAGTTCTGCCTGTTAGTAATGGTATGACCTTGAGCAGGTCATTTAACCTCTCTGGGTCCCAGTTGAAGGAGCCCTGGTGGCATAATGGGTTACACACTGGGCTGCTAATCACAAGGTTAACAGTTCGAATCCACCAGTCACTCCATGGGAGAAAAGGAAGGTTTTCTGTTTTTTTGTAAGTAGGGTTACTATGAGTCAAAATTGACTCAATTGCAGTGGGTTTGGGATTTGGGTCCCCCTTTACAAGGATATCTGCTGACACAGTGGTAACTGCAGTACCACTAACTGAAAAGTCAGTGACCCCAACCTACCATTCACTTCTCTAGAAAGAAGTGTGGCAGGTGGCTTCCATAATGGTGTGTAGCCTTAGAAACCTTAAGGGGCATTCTATTCTGTCCTGTGTGGCCCCTGTGGGTTGGAATTGACTTGATGGCTGTGGGTCAGGTCATAGATTTCGCACCTATAAATGAAATGTTGATCCCTTCTGTGCCTACTTCCCAGGGTTATTATGAGGACCATTCATTTACTAATTCAACCACTGGCTTTTGGAGCCTATTAATAGACAAAAGAGGTTCAAACCTCTTCCTCACAGCATAGTAGCACTACATCTGATGAACTCGCTCTGTCAATCAAAGTGTCCACATTATGGGTGCAAGTTGTTGCCACCTGTTCATCTGCAGACTTTGCATAAGGAGGTCATCAGTCCACCCACCTTCCTGTTGTATGTACTGCACCTGACCCAAGTAAGAAGCTGGGGTTCCAGAGATGGTGATTTCCAGCCTCTCTGCCACCTAACCCAGTGAAGGCTCGAGTAGCTTCTCCAGGTCCACCCTAGGACCTGTGTAGCAGGTACAGACAGACCACCAGAGCCCAAGCCCCCAGAGTGTCCTCAGGGATGCCTTTACCCTCCATCCGCTCTCCTCATGCTCTGGCTCCTCTGTCCCCAGGTGGCCATCAAGTCCATCCGGAAAGATAAAATCAAAGATGAGCAAGACCTGATGCATATACGGCGGGAGATTGAGATCATGTCTTCACTCAACCACCCCCATATCATTTCCATCCATGAAGGTACAGAGGCGGGCGTTCAGACCTGGTGATGGGGGGTGGTCTTTGTGTCTATTGGTGGGGGCAGTCCAGATGACTCAGATGACGGAAAGAAGTAAACAAGAAGTTAGCTTTAGAGTTGAGCAAACACGTGATTTGAAATGCAACTGTATGATTTAGAACAACTAATATAATTTCATCTCTAGGCCCCAGTTCCTCATTCGTAAAATAGGATGTCCTGCCTCTGTCACGGGGTGGTTACAAAAATGAAAATAGATAATGTCACCAAGGGCTCAGTTCATGGGACATGCCCACAGATTTCAGACATTTTTGTTGTTATTGTTAGCTTTTCTCTACTTGAGTACACCTCCCCAGCCAGTGAAATCCTCAACAATCCCGGGGGAGGCTTAAACATACATAGACATGCACCTGTCTCAGGTGTGTGGGTGCTATTCTTAATGCATCCCAAGAACCAGGCCTGTACTGTGAATCATTCCTGCCACAGGGCTGGCTCCTACCTCCCCTCCTCAACTCTCTCAGCCTCCCCCTGCTGTGACATCAGTGTTGGCTTTGCTATTCCAGCTGCCCTCTGTTCTGTGGCCCAGACAACAAAGCCCCGGCCAGAGAGAGGGAGGGAGGGGAGTACCCTCCACTCCCACCTGTCTGCTAGGATCCTTTACATAATGTCAGTGAGGTGAGAAACAGCGGATGGCAGTAGCTGCAGGAGACTGTTAGGGAGCCTGTGATTTGGCCTTCTCTGAATATTCCTGATGGGAAGAAAGTGAGACGCCTCTCCTGTCATAGCAAGACGAAGGGCAGAGCCCCATGGCCTGAGTCCAGGCAAGTGGTTGAGAAGGCTAATTGTATCTGTGTGTATCTCCCTCAGGTAAGAGTGGGAAGATGCCAGAGTATTGGTTAAACCAAGCTGAGCATGTGATTGGGCAGTGTGTGTGTGTGTGTGTGTGTGTGTGTGTGTGTGTGAATTCTCCTCACATTCATATCTTCAACGAGTTTTGGAAACTGAACTTTGAATCTCAGGAGGTAGCTTCTCTTGAACAGTTACTGTGGGCCAGGCAGGGCTCCCTCATCCTGCTATCGGCTTTTGAGAGTGAATTAAGGGGTGCCCCTGTCCTGGGAGCTCACCTCTCACCCAGCTAGTCTCCAGAATGAACCATGGTTAGCTCTTGACTCCCAGTTTCATGGTATAGAGGTTGCATTCACCCCTGCAGAGATACAGAGATCACAGGGTAGAGCTAGCCAGGTACTGCTATGCTACCACAGATGAAGGCCCCCTGGCCCCGGACTCCTGGAGAAAAGCCCAGTCCTGGCCGTGTGTCCAGTTGCCAGGGACCTGGGACTCCGTTTGGGAGAGGACTCTCCCTACAGCTCTTTCTCCAAGGGTAGACAGCAATAGCTCTGGGGCCAGCTGAGCAGGCCAAACTCCTAGGACCTGTTTGACACAGTTGCAATGTCATGGACATACATGTGCTGACACACACCTAGCTGAAGGGCCAGTTTGAGGAACCAGCCCCTCCCTACCTTTCCATGGGGCTGGAGCCATCTGGAGACCAGCCAGCAAGGGCAGGCTGAAGGCCAGCAACCTAAGCAGTCAGTGAATGAAACCCAAAAAACCACATTAACTGCCGAGTCAATTGCAAGTCATTGCACTCCTATGGGACAAAACAGAACTACCCCATAGCGTTTTCTAGGCTGTAATCCCTGGTAGAGGTCTGGTGCGGCTCTGTAGGATAAGCACTCAGTCACAAGATCGGTTTGAACTGCAAGGTTGGTGGTTGAAACTCAACAGCCGCTCTTTGGAAACAGGGTTTCTATGAGTCAGAACTGACTTGACTGCCCTTAACATCAACAAGGAGCTCTGGTAGCGTAGTGGTTACGGATCGGGCTGGGCACCGCAAGGTCAGCAGTTCGAAACTACCAGCTGTTCCATGGGAGAAAGATGAGGCTTTCTGCTCCCGTAAAGATTCACAGTCTCAGAAACCCTGTACAGGGTCGCTATGAGTCAGAACCGACTCCACGGCACATAACAACAACAACATCAACAACAAAAATCGCTGGTGGTACAGAGGTTAAGAGCTCGGCTTCTAATTGAAAAATAAGTAATTCAAACCCACCCGCCATTCCATAAAAGACAGATAGCAGTTTGCCTTCATAAAGATTTACAGACTTAGAAAGCCTGCAGAATTGACTCAGCAGCAGTAGGAGTATCTATGGGATCAGATCACCTGGTCTTTTCTTCTGCAGAGCTGCTGGTAGGTTTAAACTGGTGACCTTCTGGTTAGCAGTGGAGCACGTAACCCTTGCCCCTCCAAGACTTCTAAAATATAACAGTCAAACAAAAATTCACTGCCTTTCCAACTGTAGGAATCCTATAGGACAGAGTAGAACCACCTCTTAGGGCATCAGAGACGTACATTTTTGGGAGCAAACAGCCCCATATTTTTCCTGCAGAGCAGCTGGTGGGTTTGAACTCTTTTGAATGTTTATGTGCCAGACTCTATGCCAGGTGGGTCTGCCTACCCCAGAGCTGTCCTTGACTTTTTATCTGTTTCTCCGTAGTGTAGTGGTTACAAGTAGGGCTGCTAATTTCACAGTCAACAGTTTGGAACAACCAGCAACTCCACAGGAGAAAGATGAGGCTTTCTGCTCCCATAAAGATTTACAGCCTCTGAAACCCTAGGCAGGGACACTGTGAGTTGGAAGCACTCCACGGTACATAACCACCACCACCCAGGTCTGCGATGTGATGGTGCCATTACTTTCACTTTTCAAATGAGGAAAGCAAGGCATGGTGGTTGAATAACTAGCCAGGGGTCAGGATTCAAACTCCAGACCTGCATTCTTATAACTATATCAGAAGAGATTTGCCCAAGGTCATAAGGCAAGAAAGAGGTGGTTTCTGACCCAGAGGTCATGATCTTTCATTCTCATCTAGTGATGTCATTGCTTTCCTGGAAGTTGGCAGGGTAGTTGTAAGGATTCTCAAAAGCCTGGCCTTCCAAGGAGAGGGAGGGAGGAGCAGCTCCCTTGGCCTCACATCATTGTTCCTGGGAGCTGCAGATAGCCTTCAAGGCCCTTCTGCCCTTACTCACCAGTCCCCTGCCCCATTAGTAGACTCCCCCTGCAGGGAGGTTGTGTCTGGTTTGGGGTCAGGGAGAAGCAGGGGTCCTGACACTACCGCTTGGTTCTGCTCAGTGTTTGAGAACAGCAGCAAGATTGTGATTGTCATGGAGTTTGCAAGCCGTGGTGACCTGTACGACTACATCAGTGAGCGACAGCGTCTCAGCGAGCGCGACGCCCGCCACTTTTTCCGGCAGATTGTCTCCGCAGTGTCCTACTGCCACCAAGTAAGCACCCACCTTGCACAACCCTGCTCCTGAGGAGGGCGGGCTCTGGGGCACTGGGTGGGGCTGGTTTGGACCAGAGTGATTCAATGCCTTGTCCAAGATCACACAAGGAAGCAGGAGCAGAGACAAGACTAGCCTCTGATCCCTCAGAGAAGGATGTGTTATTTTTCTTGTTCCAAGGATGGGAGGGCCTGTGATTTCTTGTACTATGTACCAATAAAGATGTGTATTCCTGGTCTAGCCAGGCTCAGACTTGTTCAGCTCCCTTTGTGCTTACCTCATTATCCAGACTAGGCCTGTAACCTCTGCCCTCCACCTGCCCTAGAGAATTCCCCTGACTCTCTTCCCTCACTCTTTCAGAATGGGGTTGTCCACCGAGATCTCAAACTGGAGAACATCCTACTGGATGCCAATGGAAATATCAAGGTGAGTTTTACTTCTCATTGCCAGTAACTACATCCCTCACCTTGCTACCACCTCGGCCTCATTACACTGCCCACGCCAAAAGTCTCTAAACCCTTAGGAGGTTCTAGAAGGAGGTGATTAAAGTTCAGACTTATACATTGGTACTGGTAGGAACCTCATGCATTCCCCATTTCAAATCCTTATTTTTTGGATAGAAAACTGAGGACCCACAATCAGGGTGACTTGCACAGGATCCCACAGCTAGTGAGTGGCTAAGCCAAGGTATTCTGGCTCCCCAACCAGTGCTCTTGACATCATGGCTGTGGGATTATAGATCCAGGGTCAGCTTTGCTCCACTTGCACACCCACACACTGGCACGATCTGCTGCAATTAACTCACACCAGTCCCCACAGACGTAGCACACTGGTACCAGCTTCCTGCAGCTGCTGGATTCCCAAGCCTGAGTAACGTTAGGACAGGAGAGCAGTCTGTGCTGATGAAACAAACTCAGATCTTGGGGCTAGAAGGGGAAGATGGCAAGGGCCCACCAGGGACTCAAGCAGGCAGGTTTCCTGCAGGCCTGAGGAAAGGCTCTGACTCCCACCCCCTGACCTTCTCGGAATCTTCCAGAATCCGGTCAGTATCTCATCTCCAGGTTCCCTGGCACTAAGTTCATTCCCATCACCCAACCAATTCCCAGAATGGGTGGACTTTTTTCTTTGATGCTGACCAAGGAAGCCAAAGTCAGTAAATCTAGATAACTGATACTCAAATTAACTTTCTAGTCTAATCAATCATCTGCCTTGTTATGGGCTGTTCCTATAGGCTGCTTCACTATAACTGCATGATAAGGAACCAATAAAACAATAAAGGAAGGAGCCAGTGCTACATGAACAGCCCCTCCCCACCCTTGGCACACAAAGCCCTCTGATGAGGGTGGAAGGGTCAGGAGAAGCAGGTCATTGACCTCAACTTGGGAAGGCAATTGAGGAAACGATCTTTCTAGGGATGGAGAGGATGGGGTCTCTCGGCCCCATGCTCTGTGTCAGGATTTCTTCTCCTGAGCTGTAACCACAGCCCTGCTTTTTGTTTTGCTCTTACTGTTGCTTCTCAGCAACACCAGGCTGACTGCGGGTTCCTGTCATCAAGGCCTGGCCTGGTGCAGACAGGGAGATGAGCGTTTTGCTCTGAAGAGCAGCAGCTCAAAGCCTTGCATGGCTAATCAGTAACAGTATTCCCTGTGAGGATGGTGGCCTTGGATTGAGAATTGGCTCTCGCTCTCCATCCAGTACAGCTGCCTTTCATCACTAAGGGTCTATTGAGTCTCACCTGTACTAGGAGCTGCGGGAGGGGTAGGGCAGAAAGAGGTCAGCACAGGAAGGATACAATCGTTTGGACGCAGGGCTGCAGTGAGCCCTGCTTCAAAGGTGGAGACCTCAGGGCACTGGGCAGTTTCCCAGGGTTAGGAGGATGTGTGTGCCTGGAGTGGGGATGAGCATGGGCCAAGGGACCTGGGGAACACCGAGGGCTGTAGATTCCCCACATTCCTCTGCCAGGAGTTCCTCATTGACCCTCCCTTCCCCCACCTCAGGGCTCTCCAGGGTCTGAGCTATGTTAGTTGCACCCAGTATATGGCATGGGTCATGGGGAGCCTTCCTGTTTGCTGGGAACCTAGATTTCCTCAGGGTCTGGAGAAGCATGGGCCAAGAGCAGCAGACCAGCCCAGGCCTTTGTGTGACCCCTGCCTATGTTTCACCTAATCCTACAGATTGCTGACTTTGGCCTTTCCAATCAATACCACCAAGATAAGTTCCTGCAGACGTTCTGTGGGAGTCCCCTCTATGCCTCACCTGAGATTGTCAATGGGAAGCCCTACATGGGCCCAGAGGTATGTATCCCTATGATCTGAAATCCTGTGAGGGAGCTGGCTAGTTTTCCAGTTATTCCCTTTTCCAGAGTTAAATAGCTCATCATCAGCCAGGAGTGGCAAAACTGGAAGTAGAACTTTCGTCTCCTGATTTCCCATCTGTTCTCTGTTTCCCTTGCCTGCCCAGCATTACCTTTCCTGGCATCAAATCCAGCCTCCTTGTAATGACCTAGAAGTGACATCAATCACCACCTCCCCATTCCATTACCCAAAGGGATGACCCAGTCTTGTGCCTGTCTCTACTCTCAAAGGAAAGGTGACAACATCTCTTCCAGTGAACCCCAGTCCTTTCTACTGCTGCCTCACCCTTTGTCCTTGGTGGTACAGGAGTTTGTCTGCAGACACAGTGGCCTCAGCTCTCTAGTGTGGTGCTTTTCTCCTCTGGAGCTGCATAGAGACTGGCAGCCCTCCCACCCATGGCATGTGGGCATCCTTGCTGATGCTCTGTCTCTCTGTCACTCTCTCAGGTGGACAGCTGGTCCCTGGGTGTTCTTCTCTACATCTTGGTGCATGGCACCATGCCTTTTGATGGAAATGACCATAAGACACTGGTGAAGCAGATCAGCAATGGGGCCTACCGGGAACCACCTAAGCCTTCTGGTAAGTGGGAGATGTGGGTGTCCTCTGAACAGCATGGAGGTGCTAATTCCTTATGCTGGGGGCTCCCAGTCACTATAGCAAAGAGGACCCCAGCCCAGCATGACCCACCTAATGTAGACAAGGACAAACTCTGTCTACTTCCAGTGGTCATCTCTACACCTCCAAGGGTCTCTTTCTTCCATTATGGGCATGCTTAGTATATTTAGGGAGTGCTTCTGAGGAGCTAACTTCCATCCCCTTTGCTGTACTTGTCTCGTTTCCTGTTGCTCTTGTCCTCATCCTCAGAAATCCTTCTGTGCTTTCACATACCCGGCAGAAGGCAAGAAGAAGCCTGTGGGAGCCTCCATTTTCCCTTGAGCACAGAACCACTCTCAAAGGGCTAAATTTCAATGGAAGGAGAGAGAATAGACACAAACACACAAGGGCTTATGGAAGAGGCCGGAAGTCCTGAGGGGTCAAGGAACTGAATAAGAAATTGGGCTAGTCAGCCCAGGAAAGCCAAGGACTAGAAGTGACATTTGTTGTCTAGTGCTGCTGTCACAGAAATATCACAGACGGACAGTGTTCACACACAGACATTGTGTTTTCTCAGTTTAGAAGGTTGGACGTCCTGTTTCAGCTCTAGAGGAAGGCTCTCTCAGCTCTCGTAGGAAAGCCCTGTCTCTTTCCGTTTCTCAGTCCTGACTCCTTGATGATCTATCTCCAGGTGACATCAGTTTTCTCATTGTGTTTCCTTGCTTTTGGGCCTAATCTATTCTTTTTATATGTCTAAGGTGATTAGTTTTAGGACAAATGCTACACAAATGGCCTCATTAACATAACACAGAAAGCCTCTTTCTAAATGGAATTACATCCACAGATATTTGTTGTTTTTGTTAAGTGCTATCCAGTAGGTTCCCACTCATATGATCCTGTATAGGGCTTCTGAGGGTGGCTGGTAAGCTTGAACAGCCGGCCTTGCGTTTCAAACTGACCTTACAGTCCAGTGCATTAACCCACAGCGCCACACTAGGACTCCTCCATAGATACTGGGGTGAGGATTTTATAATACAGATCTTTGGGAGACTTCATTCAATCTATAACAGAGACTAAGGTGGGAATGGAAGTAGCTGTCATGGGAGTAAGCAGTGGTTTAGGCTTAAATGGAGTGACCCAGAGAGATAGGAACAGTCGGGTGCCCATTCTCAGCATTACCAAACTGAGGCCCTTCCCTGTCCGTTGTCTGCTAGATGCCTGTGGTCTGATCCGGTGGCTGTTAATGGTGAACCCTACTCGGCGAGCTACCCTGGAGGATGTGGCCAGTCACTGGTGGGTCAACTGGGGCTATGCCACCCGTGTCGGGGAGCAGGAGGCCCCACAGCATGAGGGTGGGCAGTCCAGCAGTGACTCAGCCCGGGCCTCCATGGCCGACTGGCTCCGCCGCTCTTCCCGGCCCCTCCTGGAAAATGGAGCCAAGATGTGCAGCTTCTTCAAGCAGCATGTGCCTGGAGGAGGGGGAGGCCCTCCAGGCCTGGAGCGCCAGCATTCACTCAAGAAGTCCCGCAAGGAGAATGACATGGCCCAGTCTCTCCAGGGGGGCCCACCTGACGGCACTGCCCCTCGCTCTGGGAAGGGTGACCTCAAGCTGCCAAAGGGCATTCTCAAGAAGAAGCCTTCGAACTCCTCAGAGGAGGCAAAGGAAGAGCCCTGTGAGCTCAGCCCAGTTCCCAGCAGCCCCCAGCAGGCGGCCCTGCTGCAGCCGAGGAAGGGCATTCTCAAGAAGTCTCGGCAGCGAGAGTCCGGCTACTACTCCTCTCCAGAGCCCAGTGAGTCCGGGGAGCTCTTGGACGCAGGGGACGTGTTTGTGAGTAGTAAGCCTGTGGAGCAGAAGGCCCCCCCTGCCTCAGGCTTGCTCCCCCATCGCAAGGGCATCCTCAAGCGCAATGGCAAGTTCTCCCATACCGCCTCTGAGCTCACAGCCCCAGCCGCCTTTGGTTCTTTGGACGCACTGGCCTCACCCTGCCCTCCGGCCCGGTCCAGCCGCCCCTCAGGGGCTGTGAGTGAGGACAGCATCCTGTCCTCCGAGTCCTTTGACCAGCTGGACTTACCTGACCGACTCCCAGAGCACCCCCTGCGAGGCTGTGTGTCTGTGGACAACCTCATGGGGCTTGAGGAGCCCCCCTCAGAAGATCCTGGAAGCCGCCTGAGGCACTGGCGGCAAGATCCTCTGGGGGATAGCTGCTTTTCCCTGACAGACTGCCAAGAGGTGACGCAGGCCTACCGACAGGCACGCGGGCTCAGCTCTAAGCTCAGCTGAGGGGGGAGAAGGCAGAGTGACCGCCCCCCCCCTGGAAGCTTTAAGATGCAGCTGGCTCCCAAAGGGAGAATGCTTTCTTCCTCACTTGAGGATGTATCCCAGCCTGAGAGGTTGAAAGGGTTTGCAGTGGAGCCCTGGAAAGGGCTGCATGTGGGAACTGGGCAGGTGAAATGAGTGAGGAATCAGTGTCTTCAGCTTGTGGTAGAGAAGAAAGCAGAGAAGTAGAAGGGAATGGGAGGCTGAGAGGAGTGGGGGCTGCAGGGATCAAGGAAGAGCTCTCCATCAATGTCTGTCTCCTCTAGCTCTCTTACAGTGGGGGAGTCTTGTGCGCGGTGCTGTCCACTGTGGGCAGCTGCTTCCCTCCTCAGTCCCATCCCAGCCATGTGGAAAGCCTTCATACACACACTCTCATCCCCACCAATCACTGGAACTGGACTATGGTACCCACTAGCATGCCTGGGGCTTGCTCAGCATCCTGGGAATGAGCTCCAGGAATGAATCCTCTTTCTCTTAGAAGTAAGAGAACACAACCTCTGTTTCCTCAAAGGTTCTCCTTACTTTGCTATCCTCCCAACGTGGTCCAGGCTTCCTGGGGTCGCTGCTATGAATCCAAAAGACTTGAAAAGACTCAGGCTACTGCATTGAGTGCATCTCAAGGGACCCAGACTCCTCTGGGCCCGACCTTGGACCTCAAAGACTTCCGCCACTTGCTGCCAAGCTGCTCCTGATAACTGAGAATGGATGTTGTGTTTGTTTCCCTGGGCTTTTGAGACCCTAGAATGTCCGTATTTATTTTTATCTTCTCAGCAGTTTGTATGTGTGTGTATTGTTTTGCGTATGTGTTGATTTTTTTTTTTTTTTAAGGAATCTGGCTATTTTCAATAATGTGAAGGCTCTGTTCTGGAGAAATCCACTATGACATGTAAAGTTCGTGTACAGAGAGATATTTTTGCAATAACAGCCCACTGAGGGTGGGATGTGTGTGTGTGGGGGGGTGTCTCTGTACCTCTCACTTTATGCTCTGATTCTCTGTGAAATGGTCCCCTCCTGTGGCCAGAAAGAACTACTCCATTAAAACCAGAATGGTGATTGGGAAGCAGTTTCTCTTGTTCTATTCAGGGTTGAGGACTATTAGGTCTTTGACCTTTCTCTTACCATGAACTCCCTGTCAGAGAATAATTGTTAGGTGCCATCAAGTCAGTTCCAACTCATAGCAAGCCAATGTATAACACCACAAAGCATTGCCTATTCCTGGACCATCCTCAGAATTATGATTTTTGAACCCATTGTTGTTGCCACTGTGTCAATCTGTGGGCAATAGAGAAATGATTTAATCAAACAAGCCCTGAGCTCCCTGTTACACCTCCCTAAGCAGTTCTGGAAAGAACTGAACCGGGTCTCAATTTGTTTTCTTTGACACTAAGGATCTGGGTTTGGCAAATTAGTAAGCTGAAACCCTATACAGGGCGCTATGAGTCAGAACTGACTCAATGGTACTTGACAAAAACAACAACAAACCATCTTGCTGAACTCCTGGTGTGGTGCTATAGGATAAGCACTGGACTGAGAACCACAAAGTCGATGGTTTGGCAGTTCAAACCCACCAGCTACTCCTCAGAAACTGTATACAGGGTCGCCATGAGTTGAAACTGACTCTGTGGCACATGATTACAACAATGACCATCTGTCTCCCCATACTTCTTCTCCCATCTGCTTGAAGGCACCCCACAGCCTTTAGTCTCTCTCCAAAGAAATCCCCTCCCCTCCAGTTCTGGGCAGCTTCCCTACCCCACCCCACCCCCACTGCCTGACTTCCAGAAAAAGTTAAGAATGCTTGGAATGCCCGCTTAGTCGACCTTCCACCACCCCCTGCAAAACATTGCCCTAGAGCCTGCTCCACTGAGAAACTCCCAGGCTCCAAGGCTGCTGATGAAAGAGTGGATGAGGACAAAGAGCAGCCAGGTTCCTCCTCCCACCCCTATAAGCTCCCACTGTCCCAGGCTCCTAAACCTCTCCGGTTCTGACCAGCTCCAGCTCCACAGCACAGCTGCCATCCCCCAAAGTTTAGAGCATCCAGATGTTCCCTTCCTGCACCTGAAGAGTTGGCAAAGTCATATGAGTTAGGGGAGGAGTGAGAATGATGATAATAATCTGGAATCAAGATATATAAGCAACAAAACAATTGCTCAGGCTACTTTGATTTGATGTTTCTCAAGTCCTACTGAGTATATCCAAGCCAAAACCAGTCTCGTTGCTATTGATGACCCCTTGTGTTACAGAGTAGAAGTGCTCCATGAGGTTTTCTTGGCTGTGTTTCTAGGAGAGCAGACCGCCAGGCCTTTGTAGAGCTCCTGGGTGGATTCAAACTCTTTCCTATAGTTGTCAGAACACAAACCATTTGCATTACTAAGACTGAGAAGACATAGGGGCAAGTCTTTACCCTCAAGAAGCATATGTGGAGTTTTGCTGTAGAGGTCATCTGTGCTCATCCAATCAGACCCCATCATACCCCATTGTGGTAAGCTCTAGACAGGGAATTGCTTTTCAAACAAGATTTTAGCCTTCAGGAGGTTGCAGTCTGGAAGGCAAGAAAATACCCATATGTTGTTGTTGTTAAGTGCTGTTGAGTCAATTCTGACTCATAGTGACCCTGTATAGGGTGTCAGAGGAGCATCTGGTGAGTTTGAACCACCGACCTTGCAGTTCAAACTGACCTTGCAGTCCAGAGCATTCATCTGCAGAGCCACACCAGGACTCCAGTATGCATGTAAATCTGTAAAATTTAATAGGGAAACTGCTCATTGCCAGTTCAGATAATGTTCAAGGGGTGTTTGGGTGAGGAAGGAGGAATTGCAACTTGGGAGGTAAGAGTCTTTGTTGGTGTTAAGTGCCTTCAGTCCATTCGGACTCATGTTGTTAAGTGCCATTGAGTAAGTTGCAAGTCATATTGACTATGGGGTGTCTGAAGCACTGGTGAATTTACAGTTCAGTAGAGACCCTGTATAGAGTTTCCAAGGCTGTCAATCTTTGCAGGAACAGATAGCCTCATCTTTCTCCCGTGGAGCAGCTGGTGGGCTCAAATTGCCAACCTTGTGGTTCACAGTCCAGTGCTTGTCCTACAGAGCCACTGCATTCCTGTCTAATGGAATCTATTATTAAGTGGTTGTGTGTCAGGCACTTGTAGCTTACACTATTGCTTGAATGTTTATGGTAGCCTTGTTCAGTACTATGCTTCTCGTATTTCCTAAAACCTACTGCTGTTAAGTTAATTCCAACTCATTGTGATCCATAAGGACAAACTAGAACTGTTTCTGAGACTAAATCTTTGTGGGAGCAGAAAGCCTCATTTTTGTTCCATGGAACAGCTCGTGGGTTTAAACCACTGACCTTGTGGTTATCAGCCCAGTGCTTGACCCACTATACATCAGTTAAAAAAAAAAATGAGACTGAAAAACATTAAGTAACTTGCCTAGCTAGTAAGTAGAAAAGTTACACTTCAATTCCAGTTCTATAGGATGCCAAACAGCCCAACAGGACAGGGGCACATTTGAAGAAGTTGGTGAATGGAGCTAGAAACATTTATTGAGAATTTATTACCTGCCAGGCTGTTTTCCAGGAATCCAGAATAAAAGCAATTTCTTTGGCTTGAAATGTTCCCCACCTCTGGTCATCACAATAAGCCCTAAAGGGGACATGGAAAGTTGGGGTGGTGGGAGCAGGGAGAAGTTGGTAGGAGACTGGAGGGAGTGGAGAGACCACGCTGGAGGGAGGACTGTACCTGAGATGAAACCCAGAGTAGAATGGGGAGGGAGGGAGAGGTCACAGCCCTGCAGCCTCTTTCCCACCAGAGATGTCATGGCAGTAGCTGGTTATGTGTCAACTTGGCTAGGCCATGATTCTCATTGGTTTGGCAGATACTATGTAATCATGCTCCATTTTGCAATCTGATGTGAGCATTTAATCAGTTGAAAACAGTTTCCATATATATTGTGGTCAATATATGTGGATATTCTAGCAAAGTTTGCCCACTCTCGATCCAGTATCTAACTTGTCATCGTTTGATCTCTGGGTCTTTGGACATGAGCCATCAACCTGCTGTTCGACTTCTACATTTTGAGCCATGTAGATTTTGGCCCATGAAGCAGCAGCCTGTCATCTGACCTGCCAATTTTGGGTTCCTTAGCCTCCTGCAAACACAGGAGAATCTTCCAGCCAACTGGCTGACCCATGGATTTGGGACTTGTCAGCCTCCACAACTGCATAAACCACCTCCTCAAAACAAATAGAATACACACACACACATAAACTAGAGTGAATAAAAAATTATCTGCACTCTGGCTGTAGAATTTCACTTAATCAACTTTCAGAAAAGACAAATACATCATTTTTTGACATAATCTTGCTGTTTAATACACTTTGTCCATCTGTCAACAAACTTTCATATTCCCTTATTTAAAAAATGTTTGGAGATAAGCTGTGAGCCATGAATGCACTAGTGTCTTCACTTCTTCATTAGAGGTGAATCTTCGACCTCAAAGGCTACTTTCAGGGGACCTAACAGGTGACAGTCTGATGGAGCAAGATCACAACTAAAAGGAGGATGCTTGAACACCTCAAAACAAAGTTTCTGCAGAGTGTCAGCAGTGTGGACAGAGGTGTGTGGACATGCAAGATCACAATGCCTTTGGATAGCAGTCCTCTGCATTTAATCCTAAATTTAGGCTTCAACTCTTCAGTGAGCTTCTAATTGTAATAAGCACTGTTGACTGTTGAACCTTTTTCCAGATATTGTTCCAGATACTAGCCCTTGAGAATCCCAGAAAACTTAAACATTAATTTTCCAGCTAACAGTTGACTTTTGAACTTTTTCTTGGTTGGCGATTGAGGATGTTTCCAGTGCATGCTCTGCTGTTTATTCTAAGGCTCCTGGTGATGAATCCATGTTTCATCACCAGTAATGATTTTTTTTTTAAAAAACTTTTACCTTCTTTCAAGTATTA